CAGTGGCCATCAACCTTCCCAATGCCGAGACCCTTTAATACAGTTCCTTGTGCTGTGGCGACCCCCATACATACAATTATTTTCGTTACCACTTCACAACTTCAATGAACATGTCCTTTCTGATGGTCTTAGGCGGCCCATGTGAAAGGACCAATTGAACACCCCCCCCCCCCCCCCCCCCCGGCCCAGAAAAAAAAGGTCGCGACCCTCAGGTTAAGAACCGCTGATTTAGATTAAAAAACAAAAATGAACACATTAATCACTGTAGATTTAAACAAAATAGACATAATATTTTCTTTAGATTTCTTCTTCTTCTTCTGCGTTCATCCGAAGATGTAATTGCGTTGTGTCCGTTTACAGCATGGCTGCGATATTTGCACCTTTCGGCCGACACATCCGACTTCTGCAGGCATTTGTTGACCGGGTTAGCCTTCCCGGTTTCTTCAGATTTAAAAACGCGCTTTATAATTCCAGAATAACCAGTAAGATTCCTGCTGCGGACGATTTGGTAGCAGGCTGCTTTGCGTTAATTTCGGCAGTGGTATAGAGAGCTGAATTTTCAGAAAGCGATGGCAAACTACTGAAAGTAAAATTTGCTTAGTAAAACCATATTCAGCCATAAAATGCTTGGGTTGGTTCTGAAACTTCATGTAAAGGGTACATATACAACTGACTATTTACAACCCGTAAGTAAACATAACTACAAGACGACTGATAACCTTGCAGTTTGTTAAGTCTTTCCCAACCAAAAACAGTTTTGCAAGACATGTTCTTATCTTACTGAGAAATGTCAAAGACAAAACCGTTAAAAAAAGGTAGATACCCGATCGACATTGCAACCACCTGTGGATGGTGAGATTGTTAATGTTGTATCGGTCTGGAAAGTGGGTCGCTCAATTTCAAGTGCTGGTGAAAAGCTTGAATGTTGAAATGGGCGAGGTGTGGCCATGTTTGAACTGAGGTTTGGATGTGTCAGGGAGAGACTTTTCGGACAAGTTGAATGCCAGCTACGAATGCGGTCGATGCACAGGTTTGGCTTGAGTGCTTTTCCTGGTTTCTTGTCAGTGTTCAGTCTTCTAGTATCTTCTTCTTCTTCTTCTTCTTCTTCTTCTTCTTCTTCTTCTTCTTCTTCTTCTTCTTCTTCTTCTTCTTCTTCTTCTTCTTCTTCTTCTTCTTCTTCTTCTTCTTCTTCTTCTTCTTCTGCTGCTGCTGCTGCTGCTGCTGCTGCTGCTTCTGCTGCTTCTGCTGCTGCTGTTGCTCTTCTTCTTCTTATTTTCTTCTTCTTCTTCTTCTTCTTCTTCTTCTTCTTCTTCTTCTTCTTCTTCTTCTTCTTCTTCTTCTTCTTCTTCTTCTTCTTCTTCTTCTTCTTCTTCTTCTTCTTCTTCTTCTTCTTCTTCTTCTTCTTCTTCTTCTTCTTCTTCTTCTTCTTCTTCTTCTTCTTCGTCTGGATACCAGGGGACTGGCCGACTCTCAACACTCTAAGGTAATGTGATAGGCTGGAGAACGCCAAAGACTGCTGTTCAGCAGCTTGTCGATTTTGGTTTGTTTGGCCGATACCTTCATTTAGTCTGGTTCACGAAAGCGGAAAAGTCTGGCCACTGTGTATAAAAAAGGCCAGCTCACTCGCTATTGGGGTTTATTTGACTTCCGGACGCACCCTGTGGAGACCTACCCAGCTGTTGCAGCTCTGCACATTCGGTCAGCCAGCATGAGTATGGGCGACTGCAGGGGAAGACCGGTTGTCAGGCTGATTTAGCGGCGGTGGTATGTTTCCATAGAAAGCCGTAAAATTTATCTAGTGGTTAAACTGTAGAGGTATGTCGGTGTGTATTCTCGCTGGGATGGCATGTCGCTATAAGTGATTTGTTGGTGTGGTGGCATTTTGAAGCTTAACTACGTTAAATACGTTTCGGTTTTATCCATTGTTGAGGTAACCTCGCTGAGCGTATAGTGTCATTATCATATTTCTTAGTTAGCTGGAGATGATAGCTTTAGATTCTGTTCGAGCACGTTGGTTTTTGTTAATGTTGTTATTTGTGAACCACGCTGATTTTATGTTGAGTGAAATAAACAGATGTTCAATGTGGTAATCATAGTTCCAGTTATTTTTCTTTCAGATTAGGACTTGTGGTTAGTGTGCCTAGTTTATTTGTTGCATTGGCTGATCTAGATTGAACACAGAAGATCTCATGTCTGGACTAGAATATTTATGTTCCTTGTCCCCGCCTAACGAACTATTTTTCTTAATTTTTATCTTGGTACTTAGGGCTTTTCGCTTCTAGTACAGTAAGGCGAGACCGATATACAGTCAGACAACTACTGGTGCCACTGGAATTTTAACTCTTCACTTGCTGCCGAAGATGGGGACGGAGCGCTTATGGGAATGTCTCAAGTGATATCATATCGATTCTTAATTCAACATTCAATGCTAAGGTATTTTATATTGCGTACATAACCTAGTCACAATTATAACCTAAGTCGCCTCCTTCAAGAATGCTGGTTAAACTTCACGTTTTTTTGTTTTTGTTTTGTTTAGCAAAGCAAGCCAACCTGCATACACTTTCACTGACACACCAAACTGTCTGCCTATCCAGCTATGTATCAAAAAGTATCACATATCTGTGTGAGTGTGTCCATGTATCTGTCTGTCTTCCTGTTCATCCACTATAGATCTTCACGCTCACTCGCCTGTCCGTCGGTCCATTAGCTTGCCAGTCTGCCTGCCTTCCCCTCTGTTAGCTTGTCTAATGTATGTCCATCCGTCTTTCTCCTTCCCAATATTTGTTTTCTTTCTCAGTCTGCTTGCAATTTTCACTATCTGTACTTCATCACATTCCCAATAATCTCGTTTCACTGGCCAAATCTCTAACCACAAAACTGCAAGAAATGATGGACATAATTGTAACCAAAAGTGAAAACTAAGGTCTTAGTTTCAACAGCAGAAAAAAATTGTAATTACAAAGAAAACTGACCCTCCAAAATACAACATCATACATACACGCACATACATACGTACGTACATACATACGTAAGTACATACATACATCATACATGCATACATACATGTATGCATACATACAAACATGTGTGTGAAACAGAAAGAGAGAGAGAGAGAGAGAGAGAGAGAGAGAGAGAGAGAGAGAGAGAGAGATAGAGAGAGAGAGAGAAATAGAAAGAAAGGCAGTAATACAGAGGCAGTCAAACCTCTGAGATAACATCATACATCTATAACACTCGACCTCTGCGGTTGTAGGACAGACACACTAGATGTCATACACCCTGCAATAAAACGAATTCACAACCAAGGGGCTCCACAAAGTCATCCGTCTATGCAGTGTACTGTTACACTTTCTCCTGTGGTACACAAGTTACTTTCTCTCCAACAAGATAAAATTATGTATACTTTATCACCGTCATAAATATTTGCCCCTCTGCAAAAAAAAAAAAAAAACAGGGGGAGGGAAGGGAACACTTTTGGTACCCGGAAAGTAAACAAAAGAATAGGTTACGTAAAAGTTTAACGGCTCTTTGGGGAAAATGATTTTAACAGCATAGACTGAACGCATAAGTCAGACGCGCTGTTGCATTGTGTGTTTGTGTGTGCGCGCGCATGTACGTGTGTGCGTATATATATATATATATATATATATATATATATATATATATATATATATATATATATATATATATATATATATATATACATATTGTAGTGATAATATAGATGGATTTTGCTGTTAGAAGTTAGACCAGAAAAGAAGGTAGGTAGTTGTACCCCACCAGATCATCACACAAGCGATAAACACCCGGTGACACAAAGTGCCACCATGCGGACGAGGATCACCCGTGGAGAGGTCCCAGAAACCCCTTTCAGCAGTGAGGCCATATATTTTAGGCCCTGTTATATTCAGGGCCCCGGCAAAAGCCAGGGTGGAGCTTCAAATAACAAAACAAAAAATTTTATCCCACATGGGGACGTCTATAAAGAGAAGTATATGCATTATTTGTTGAATAAACGCGGACTGAATCAATTAATACAGGAATCAACGGTGGGATGAATACAGGTTGTTGAGAGTAGAAGCAATAGTAAGATTTCTAGAGACAAGTTAAAGGAATTAGCATTTGGCACACATTTGGCACAGCGTTACAGACAGACGATCCAGTCTGAATTACGCACAAGAAAATACCTGGGGAAGTAAAGGTAACCTGTACTGAAAACATAAAGTAGCAAGTGCCGGTTGCTCAATTAAAATCTAGGTCCAGTACCATGCTCCCAGGCAGCCGCTGTGGTGTAGAGGCTAGACTCTCTCATGCGGGTCGGAAGGTCGTGGGTTCAGGTCTTGAAGACAGAGCCGGCCTTTTTTTTTTTAAGAATTACTGTGGCTCCCAAGCCGACCCAGCCTTGAATGGGTATTAGGTATAGTCATGGGAAGTAAAGGCGACCAACGTGACCATATCACACACCAAGTGCCGACTAATGTAAACAAATATAGGTGTAGCCATATATGCCCAATATGCCTACAGATGTGAAAAAGGGAACTTTGATAACCATATGCCGGCTGCGCAAATGGCTTAACAATAAGTCCTTATCTTATTAACTTTATTGTTAAAATCTCTCCCAATCCTGGTATCATAAGAATTGAAATTCTCCACAGGCTGCTGAAAACAGGGATGTCGCGCTTATGGGAATGTTGCCAGTGCTGTGATGTCAGTTTTTAAACTCAAATTTCCTGGGTTCCTAGGCTCCATTTTGGAAAACAAAGATTAGAGCCGCTGCCACCTGACAAGCATGTCGTAGGAGGTCACTAATTAGGGGTATTTCCTTCACAGGCTTAGTGCATCCGAGGGATCCGTATAAGATGTTCGCGCAAAACCCAAGTTAGGGACCAAAGTGCAGGAGTGGACGAACACCGTAATGTAATTTTCCGCCGGAGGTTACAGCAGGTGAACGCTAAGAAGAAGGAGAAGAAGATAACTCACACAAGAAACAAAACCCTCACCTTGTCCTCAGACTGCGCCCAGAAAGTTGCTATCCCAGCTCGCACTCTGTTCTTGAAGCCTCGGACCGTTCCTTTGACACTGACGATCTGTTTCTCGTGGAACGAGGACGGGTTGCGAATATCCCTGAGGCCTGCAAATGCAGATTCGAACAGAGGAGGTGGAGGAGGAACCACGTTGTACTGTGACTGGTAATAAAGTCCACGTCGATGAAGGTCCTGAGCTTTTCCAGCTTCGTTTGCTAGAAGACTTGGTTCCTTGGTACTATGATCTGCTTCTACGGGGATGGCTGAGACCGGAGTTAGCCGCTTTTCTTCACCTGAAGTCATTCTTGTGGGAGGTTGTTGATTACCTCTTACAGGGAAAGAGTTGCTCTGTTCATAGTTTCTTTGGGAAAGATCCCATGAAACAGAACCACATGAAGCTCTGTTCTGAATGTCTTTATAAAGTCCCTTTTGTTCGCCAAGTCCATTATAAAGCCGGATTTGATCATTGTTAAATCCAGCATACAGTTGGTTCTCATCACTAGCTCCTGAATACGGTCGATTCTTTTGGGCAAAAGAACTGCTAGATAGTCTGTTATTTCCTTCACGTTGGCTACTGTATGCCTGGCTATAGTCATCGTTATCTCCACAAACCTGTCTTGTTTGTTTATCGAAAGAATCAAGATCACTAGACATCCGTTTTTGGGCATCGTTTTGACCACTGTTCAGCCTCTTTGCCTCATCATTATAGCCATTATGTGGCGGTTTCTGGCCATCTGGTAGACCTTTTGATAACCGACTTGGCTCATAATTTGGATCTTTTGACTGCTGTCTCTGTACATCATTGGAAAAATTGGCTCGACGTTGTCGTTCATTCTCATGGCCACAAGAGGGCTGCTGTCGCTCATCCAAAACACCATGAGAGGGTCGTATCTGCATGTTAGTAATACCATTAGAAAGACGAACTCGCTCATCAAAATTACCAGACTGTCGCTTTTGTCCTTCAGACTGTCTTTGTATATTGTTCCGTGTGGTAGATCGCTGATAGTGAGTTACTTCTTGCTGCTCATTTCCATACTGCTGTTGAAAATTGTCACTATAAGGTGTCTTGAAACTCGCCGAACTTTTGGCCGTTGAAACTGTACCATTGACATATATAGACGTTGTATGCATACTTTTATTGTGAGACGAGTTTTGGAAACTCATTTGTGATATTTTCATATCTTTAGTCGTAGACGGAATAGGCGTCTTGCCTTCTGCTGTGAATGCTTGAGGTTGGCGACCACCAACGGTGACCTGGCCAGATTTCGGAGATAAATCGGGAATCGAGTCTTCGCTCTCGCCGTTAGAATCCCTCACGCTGATCTTTTCGTAGGCCGCGGGTTTCACAAAATTCCGGAACATTCTAATTATCTTCGAAGAAAAAGACAACACAAATTTTTTTTAACAAATACATCATCATCAAGTGCCTTGCCGACTGGCGTGGGCGATCATACCTCTTCTCCACAATCTGCGATCTTCAACAGTATGTATTAGTTCATGTGCTGATACCCCTCCACGCCATGACAAAAGGTTGTTAACTCTTTGAGTCCTAGGGAGTTTAGCATCACAGGCCCAAGGGGTAGCCAAGAGAGACGTAAAGTTGACGCATGTTGCGTTCTTTGGTCTTCGAGGTAGGAATCTATGAATGTATGATGCGTTCCTTGGGACTCAAAGAGTTAAGAATCGTCTCGCGCCGTCTTCCCCTGTCTCCTTTTCACCACAGATCTTTCCACAACATGTGCTAGTTCTTTCTTCACATAATATTATATATATATATAATATATGATATATATATCATCAACTCTCTTTATGCCTAGTGACAAATTAGGTTTCAGAGAGGACTTTCCATGCTCACCTGTCCTGTGCAGTCTTCAGTGCAGTTTTCCATGTCAGAAATGCCGCATTCAGGTCACTCTCCATCGTTTCTCCATGTTGTTTTTGGGCATCCCTTTTTTTCTCTTTCCCTCTTGTATCCATATGGGAGCTGTTTTGGCAGGCATTTCAGGATTCATTCATGCCATTTCTATCTTCTCTTGGCTATCATAATGTCTAGAGTTCCTTGGTTTGTGACTTCTAGATTAAGTGTTTGAGATTGTATCTGGCCAGAAAATTTTGATAATTCTACGTAGACATGTATGGTGGAAGGTGATTGCTTGTGTGTGTGTGTGCGTGTGTGCGTGTATATATATATATATATATATATATATATATATATATATATATATATATATATATATATATATATATATATATATATATATATATATATATATATATATATATATATATATATATATATATACAGATCTCAGTCCTTGGTATTCTGAATTATTTCCACTGATAATATTTCTCCATGCCATCGCTTCAGAAGGTCAAGCATGGTCTCTCTTGGTCTGCCCCTGTCTCTTCTACCATTGATCTGTCTGGTCATCACCACGTTCTCCAATGCCTCTCTTCTCATTATATGACCGCAGAA